AAGGTCTTGACTTCACTCGTTGGCAGACTTCGCATGCGCGAACATACTTTCGCACAAACTGATACTGGCGGGGCCAGTAAAAGTCTCGACTTACCGTGAGATATGTTTTCTCTCGGCCACGATGTCCTCCTATAGGAGCATCATGATACTCGAACATGATCCGCAAACGCAGATCAGTATCATCTGGAATGACAACACGTGGTGTGTCACCAGAAACGGTTGTATAATACAGTAAACCGTTACGAGTAGTGTATCGATCTGATGCAGATCGATACGCAGGCGACAATCGTTTCAACGATTCTTGGGATGGTTGGGAGAGATGTGTCAACAACTTCACAATCTCACCATCTTGGGCGTATGCCCGCCTCACATCATCATACAACGTTGTAGATGGGACTGAGGACGTCATAACCGCAACAGTGACTGTCTCACTGTTGGGTTTCGCGACTGTTTCAAAGTCGGGACGACGTGACAGTGCATCAGCGACGACATTAAGTCGTCCTGGTTTGTACTCGACCGTAAAGTTGTATTCTGCAAAGAATGACAACCACCGCGCCATTCGTTGTGAAAGGTGCGGGCTGTTCACTGCCGTGCGTAATGACGCATGGTCAGTGTAAACAACGAAGGGTCTATCTCCTAATAGATAGACTCTGAACTTCGCAAGTGCATACTTCATGGCAAGGAGTTCCTTGTCATGCACTGGATAGTTCCGCTCAGCTGGTTGCAGCTGACGCGACTGATAGCAGACGACGCGTTCAACGCCTTCAAGATCGTACTGCGTTAATGCACAGCCGATTGCGAAATCGCTGGCATCACAGACCACATGAAATGGCCTGTCCTGATCGGCTATTGCTAGGACTGGGGATTGTATCAAGCTCTGCTTGATACCCTCAAAGGAGCGCTGACATTCAGCGTTCCACAACCACCTCTCGTTCTTTTTCAACAAACGAGAGAGGTGTACAGTCATCTCGGCGTAATTGCGTGAATACTTATGCAAATACGCCGCTAGCCCAAGGAATTTTCGAAGACCTTTGACATCAACCGGCACAGGCCAGTCGGTGATCGCCTTGATCTTTTCGGGATCAGGACGTACACCGTTCTTACCAACGATGCACCCAAGAAGTGGTATTTCGCTTGCTGCAAATATACACTTCTTGAGGTTTGCATACAATTGATGCTTTCGCATGATTGTAAGAACCTGTCGGACGTGGTACCTGTGAACCTCAACGTCCGACTTTCCATCCATAGCTCGACTATGGATGAATACGTCATCGAAATAGCTCGGCGCGAATTCTCGTACTGGTCTCAACAGATGTGATACACATCTGTTGAACGTGGCAGGGGCATTACTGAGCCCTTGTGGCATTACTAGCCATTCCCAGAGCATGCCGCTAGGCGTGCTAACTGCGGTATAGGGTATATCCCGTTCCCGCATAAGGATTTGATAGAAGCCATCCATCAAATCCATGGACGAAAAGATGGTACTCTTTGACATACCATCAATGATTACGTCCTTCCTCGGTATCAGCGTCTGAGCCGGTGCCGTTGCAGCGTTCAATTTATTGAAGCGTGCACTATCCGCCACCCCTCCTGTTGCTTTTCGCACACAGAAGGTCGTAGAGCTATGTGGGGAAGTTGATTCCCTCACATGGCCCGCAGCTAAACGATCGGCAAAGAACTTGTCGATCGCAAGTACTTGTTCACGAGGCAGTGGCCACTGCTTCATGACACAGTACTTCGAGCCTGGTTTAAGCTCGACCTCGTGTCGAATACCTTTATCCTTCGGTAATTCGCACGGAACAGTTTCAGGGAATACATCCTTGAATTCAACCAAATCTTCATAGAGAGGATTTTTCTTGAGCGATTCCCACGATTGGGAGTCATATCGCTCAATTCGTGTCTTTTCATCGAGGACACTTTCGTCCATAGATGAACTACTGAGAACTCTCTCGTTTTCAGTAAACACTGTTGCTGACCTTATGTCGGTTACACACTCGTCGTCAGAGACGAGTACGCAGATCTGCTTGACTTTGCCACTACGCAGATCACGCAAGAACCTTTTATGTTCGAGCGTTGGCAACTGAGTGATCTCCGAAGTCAACTTCGGAGGCGCAATCAGATCAAGTGTATAAGCGCCTACACTTGATCCGTTATTGACTATGACATTCAATGTCTCTGTCATTTCCGGGGGACTTATTCTCTCAGGCTTCGAAGGACTTATTCCTTCGGCTTCCCGGGGACTTATTCCCGCGGGTTTCAGGGAACTTATTTCCGCCGTATTCGTAATCTTGGGACTTATTCCCTTTATTTCCTCTAGCTGGGGTTGTGCAACCACAGCGAGATCCTCTACGAAAGACTCTCCAGTCGATCTAGGATTATCGTTTCGCTTAACCTGAGCGATCTATTGTTTCTCTTCTAGATGTTCCCCGCTAGGGATACATCTTTGTCCCGGTCCTCTCGACTTATTCGAGTGGTGGACCTTCGGCGCAGCCTGTGTTTCCTCACAGCCGCCGGAACTTTTCTCCGAAGTGTAACCGTTTGGTACACTAAGTGTTGTGCAGTCGTACTAACGACCGTACCACAAGTGAGGCCATCGCACTCACTCGTAGTACATCCACACGCTTGTGGACGCTCCAAAACGTTCATCACATGGCCATCTGATGAACAAGCGGCAGGCATCGTTACTGTTCGATGTTGCCAGTTTACCCGTGGTTCGTACCTTCTGAGCCACGGTATCCCAAGGATGACATCAAATTTGTCATCCAAATCCAATACGATAAAGTCATCGTCATATTGGGTATCTTCTAGCGTATAGTGGATCTTCATTATACGCTTCATGACGGTTACGGATGCGCCTGTCGCAAGACGTACCGTCATCCTCGTAGGAGGTGTGTCACATTCACTAAATTTAAAGTGACCATCTTCTAGCGATTGGCGTCGCACAAAATTGTTGGACGCCCCACAATCGACTAGAGCTCGAAGGGACAACTTATGTGTCACTTCGAGTTTCAAGGTAATGAGTGAGATCTCATTACCAAGAGCAGCAACGCACAACGTTTGTGTGTTGGGAGCAACCTTCATCAAGAGGCCTACAAATTCTCTTGACGTTGCTGGACCAGTAGTGTGCTCCGCACCTACTGATCCTGTCCGTTTTTTGACGGTCCATCCCGTTGTTGCGTCTTTGCACCAACAGCGGACCCGCGTCCCTGCCCCTTTCTCATGGGTGGACGGTCACTACGCCCAGTGTCGCGAGACACTGGACGAGGGGCACTACACTCGTAAGCGTAGTGTCCTGTCTTTGACATCTGTTGCATCTCTGCAACCTCTTGTAGCCTGTAGAGCGAGCCTTCTCGCTCTCTACATAACAGAGTTCCATCGGCTCTGGACCTCCGTTGTCATATCGTCTCGGTTGACGATATGATGTCGAGCTCGCGAGCCTGTCTCAGACTGAAGTCTTCCTGCTCCGCAATGGAAATGGCTTGTTCTAGTGAATCTAGTTCAAGCCGGAACAGGTGAGTCTTGACGGGACCATCCGCAAGACCCTGCATGAACACCGAAACTAACGTGTGTTCATCCACCGGATTGGAACTTATACAACTCGTGAGATGTCTTATATGTTGCGCGTAAGCGTGCACATCACGCTTACCCTGCTTGAGCTTCAAGAGTTCGGTTCGAGCTCTGAACTCAGCTCTAGGCGGTTCAAACGTTTGTCTGAGCCGCGACTTGAAGACTTCCAACGACCCAAACGCATATGGGTCGTGCAACTTGAGCCCCAGTGCCCAAGTCTTGGCACGTCCTGCCAGATTTGACTGGGCAAATGCAACTTGCATATCCCCGTCGTCGATGCGACGCGCCCTTATGGCGTCATCTAATTCGACGAACCATCTCAAGAGGGAGTCTTCTTCGACCCCCCTATACTTGGAGATGTCAATCTTCAAGGTTTCGGGTCGACGCGAGTGCATCGACCCACCCGCAGCAGCCTGCTGCTGTCTCAACAGTTCAAACTGTTGAGCACCCTGTTCTCTCAACAACTCTGCTTGTTGAGAACCTTGTTGGTGAAGCAAGGCTACTTTCTCGCGTTCAGCGTCAAGTTCATTTTGAATGAACTTGGCGATAGTAGCATGTTGGGCATCTCTATTGAGAGCCTCTAGCATGACGCTAACAGCATGGATGCCCATGGTTGAACCCATTCGTTCAACCGCATCCCATTCGACATCGCTCAAATGGGAGTAGCCGTCACGCGTAGCGTGAAAGCTTTGGTCATCTTCATCATCCAACATATTCATGTTGGATGTGAACGCGGTCCTTGGACGGACTACGAAGTGCTACCAGGTGTAACGGGGCACCCTGAAGCTTGTACTGGTGACAGTACAAGCTACTTATTCTGATGACAGAATAAGGCGGTGCCTCGTAACTTTACGTACACTCGTACGTGCAGAGGAAGACGGTAAGAAGAAGCGAGTACTTGGTTAAAGTAAAAAGTAGAACTGTATTTATAATAGTTAATGTCTGCAATAAATCACTATTTATCTTCATCTAACTATGTCTAAATACAAATGTGTAAATCGACTATCTGCTCACCACTCATTGCGTGCGTCTGTCGTGGCGCGTCTTCGTTGGTTGATATAATGGCCTATATCAACCAATTAGGAACTACTCGTAAGTGCTACAGAATATTTGTCCTTATGACAATATTCTGAGAATATAACTCTTATAGTTATATTCTATTAACAATTTCTTATAAATTGTTATGTAACGATTCACCCCGTTACAAACTCGATACCCTTTTCAAGCATGCGAGTGTACACCGTCGGTCTCGCCGTCACCCTTGCGTGCGTCGAGAGTCCATCAATCGTGGCCGTGGCTCCCGCCGCATTACCTCCAATCCCGACGGAAGACCTCGCCTCGCTAAGACAAAGTTGAGGTCTGACAAGATGGATAGCGATCAAGAGAGATCAAGTGGGCTACCCGTACCATTTCTATCTCAGACTGATTCCGTCATGTCGTCGATGAAGAAAGTGCTTGTGCGAAAGCCTGAGGTCCCTCTCAGGAAGCACACAATATCTTCCTTACTTGCGGACACCCTTCAGAGTACTTTGGCCAAGCAAGCTCATTTGAAAGACAGCGGCTCGGCGAAACGACCTAAGAAACAAGTACCCGAGAAAACTCAATCGCCTGGATTGCAAGAACAACAACTCCATCTCAAATCCGCGAGCTCGGCGAGGAAGCAGAATCCCCTTCTGAGTTTTGTCGAGCTTCTGCAGCCCAGCACAGAAGACCTTGACCTCGATGGACTGGCAACACTCATGCACTATATCGAGCACCCCGACATTGATCTGGAAGACAAGCGAAAAAGTCTGCAAGGGCTTAAGACACAGCTGAAAACACAAAACACGAACGAGGAAGTTACGATGTTGGAATTAAACATCAAAGGCATGGAGAACAAGGGGTACCTGACGCTGTATGAGTCGCTGCGTGCGTACTACGGGGTGGGGCGGCTCCTAACCCTCCTGGCCAACGCGGTGTTCAAAGAGAAAAAAACATGCGGCAACGTGGCAGTCCAAATGGTATCGCAGGCCTTTATGAAACAAGATATCGACTGGGCGACATACCAAAAGATGTTAAAACCTGTCTTACCGTAGATCCACATTCACGAGCAGATAGACTCGCGAGATGCGCACTCGGAGGAGATAAGAGGTTGGTTTACACTCGAATGAGATTGAAGGAGGCTTTAATCGGGTGTCAAGCACTTTCGAAGGAGATTGGGGGAGGACTTAAACGGAGAAGACGATTTAAGTACAAGTCGAATCGACAACGACGTGGTGGTCTGCCTTAACTGTGTTTTACGAATCTTATCGTACCACTCGACGTTTAGCGGTATGAGGGTGAATGAAATTCGTTGCATGTGCGAGGGAAGACGAGGAAGGTAATTATATATGTCTTGTTAAACAAACACAGGTCTGCGTCGAGCTAATTTAGCGACTAACTTGCGCGCTATGACTAGACTATTCTTTAGGTCACACTGCTAAGGAAGGAAATCCAAATGGTGATATTCTGCACGCTTTACAGGTGAAGACATTACGACCACAACACGAATAAAGAAGAATTAGATTATACTCTAATGAATTTATTTGGTCCATGCATTTTAGATGTACGGATATCTACTTGTTGGACATGCCAATCAAACCGGGATCACATTAGCGGACTAATTCATCGATTTACTTCGCTTTTAACAGCAATTTTATGTCTTTAGGGTGGGGGCACGTGGGTTGTCGTCGTTGGCTTTTAAGATTTTTAAGTAGATGTGGGTACTATGGATGTCGTCATACACGCATGTCAAAGAATCTAAACTATACCAGAGGAGATGGTGTTCATTCTTTGACACTCACTCGGTCTTAAGTGTTGTAAATCGGTGCTCTCGATAGTGAGATCATGGAAATTTCGAAGGCTCTATACCGTGCAGGGGTGAGATCAAACCGAAATGACTGAAAAACTACCCAGCCGCGAGCACGATGTCGCAGTATTGTCGCCAATGTCGCTGTTTTATGTGCACCTGTCGACCAGTGTCGGTCGGTGTACACTGTGCCCAATGCTTTGTCTTAATGTCATTCGATTAAGTGATAAGCATTTCAATTCACACTACAAATACGCTAATCGTAAAAACAGCAACTTTGTAATCAAAAACGACACGGTCAGTCGAAAAGTGGTTGCGATTACTTGATACACCTATCAAAATTGAAATGCTTTGCAACTTCGAATGACTAAAAATGTCATGTTTTGCTTTTAAAATCGCAACAATTAGACTCAACTGCCTTTATTATAATTCTTGATCAGATTTAGTCTTTCTGTAATCACGCCCTCGCTTGCACTCGTCACTGTTAGATTAACAACATTTTCATCGTTATCCAAATGCTTATGCGTTAACTTCTTAAAAGCGTATAGGAGATCCCTTGTGTAACGGGGCACCCTGAAGCTTGTACTGGTGACAGTACAAGCTACTTATTCTGATAACAGAATAAGGCGGTGCCTCGTAACTTCACGTACACTCGTACGTGCAGAGGAAGACGGTAAGAAGAAGCGAGTACTTGGTTAGAGTAAAAAGTAGAACTGTATTTATAATAGTTAATGTCTGCAATAAATCACTATTTATCTTCATCTAACTATGTCTAAATACAAATGTGTAAATCAGTTATCTGCTCACCACTCATTGCGTGCGTCTGTCGTGGCGCGTCTTCGTTGGTTGATATAATGGCCTATATCAACCAATTAGGAACTACTTGGAAGTGCTACAGAATATTGTCCTTATGACAATATTCTGAGAATATAACTCTTATAGTTATATTCTATTAACAATTTCTTATAAATTGTTATGTAACGATTCACCCCGTTACATCACCCCTTAACCATCAGTCACTTTAGTGACTGATTGACTAAATGGATACTCGTCCCAAATCATTTGGGACAGGGTTTGCAATTGTTGGTCCGAGTCCACTTCCCAACATCTCATCGCATGGTAAACAAGCCCATGCGATGCGCGATCAAGGCCGCCGAGAGCGCGTCTGCACGTCTCTGTGCGGACGCCGAAGCAGAAACTACAGCAACTGATGTCCCATCGGTTGCTGAATCGACTCAGCCTGTTTCACCTGGTGATGCAGGCGCTGGTCATGAAGACACTCGTGTCTTCACAGAGTACGAGCTCGGTGTCTCGTACTCTCCTGATACGGATGACGGATCCGTATCGACGGCAATTGAATCCAAGCCGCCTGCCAAGCGTGGCATGGACGATGCTTTGCGTCGCAGCATCTTTGGTTCATCTGATGAGTCAGATGAACCATCGCCGAAGCGAAGGCGCTCGAGGTCGCGAGACTCGGGCGCTAATAGTGGTGTCGTTTCTCCAATGGACACCACTTCACAGCGAGGTGCCAGTACTTCTGTCGGCACGTCGCAGGAAGAGCGGGACCGCAATGTGTTGCGTCTCGCTCCAGAAAAGAAGGCATGGATGCCTCCTAAATCTGTCATGGATCACTTGTCGGCGACGACGAGTGATCGTTATCGAACACGATTGTTCGATTCGTCAAGGATCCATCACCTTGACCCCAGCGCGAAAGACTATCGCGCTGAGAATGAATTTTTCATCGGTGATTTCTTTAAGCATCGATGGTACAGTGGGAATCACAAAAGTGATGGTCCCTCACTACTTCAGGCGTGGAACTCCTACATCCATGATCTTGAGGATGTAGGTCGTGACGTTTGGAACGACAAACTTATCAAAGCTCGTGATAAGTTTGAAAAGAGGACCCCGACAGGTGCACGCTATAAGCTGCATCGTCTGTCAAGGGAGAAAGGATTACCCTGCCTCTCTTGGGGAGACTCGTGCCCATGTTGTGTGAACAACTCTGCACGAGCACCTAAGGAGGCTTACCTCCTTACCAGCCCGTGGTGGCGCGTACGTGTCTCTACTGAGATGTACGAAGGGATTGACAACCTGAAATCCCTTTACGACCGTGCCGGGAAGACTTTCTCCGGCGGTCCTTCTGCGGCACAGGATGTGTCGCGTCGTACTGCTCGACCAGACCCAGTACGTCAACCATCAATTGGGAGCGGGGCTCCCAAGAATCCCAGGACGGGGGATAGCCGCGCCACCGGACGAGGTAACTCGTCCGACGTCCGTTCACGTCGCGGTGGTTCAACAGCTGCTCTACTAGATAGCGCTGGCCACCGCGAGAGTCCTCTAATGGAGGTGGAGGAGGAGGAAAGACGCTCTCCACACGATCATGTGGATCGGTGTGTTCCCGAGAGCTTCTTTGATCGCGTAACGCAAGGGTTACGCGACGATCTCGAGCATGAGCGGAATAGGCGTCTCCAGATGGTGGACACTGCCTCGAAGCATCGAGCTGAGTTTGCCTTTGCTCAGCTTGAGAACGAGAGATCTCTGACATCTCTTCGTGACGAGCTAAGGGTAGCTCGTGGGATTGTTGATCGGTCTCGGGCTGAGATAACTGCTCTTCAGACCCTTGTTGATGCCCACCATCGGGAGCACAAGGCTCTCTGCGAGATGCTTGAGCGCAAGGGCGTTCTTCATCGGAAGAAGCAGCGTACTGATGGTACGGCTTAAGCCGACCAACGTAAAACGTGGGATGCGTTCGCATCTTACGTGGTAACTCGATCGTGTATGCATTGCCTAGGCGGTGCAATACACGAAATGGGCCAATGTACTTGGGTAGTAGTTTACTGCTACCCAAGTTAGTCACTACATGTTTTGGTAGATTAACCGTAGACAGTAGGACTAAGTCACCTTTATTAAATAAAAGAGTGTTTGCCCTTCCATTCTTGTCAGCGTTTTGCTTTTGCTTATCCACCGCTTCGGCGATGGAGTCTTGCACAAAACGGACTACCGTTTCACGAGCCAGTATGAACTCATCTGATGACTCGTTAGCTTCAGTGTGCTGTGAGCGCACTGCAGCGACAACAACCTTTTCTTCAGTGAGGGCTTCCGCACTCCTCACTGGGATCATTGTCTTCAGTGAGGGCTTCCGCACTCTTACTGGCATCATCTTCTTCGATATCGATGTTATCGATATCGGCATCAAACGCAATGACTTCTTCGTCAGAGCGTGATGAGGGGGGACCAAAACGGTTTTTCTTCGCGCGAGTCCCTCCCCCCTAAACCAGAGTTACACTCTAGTAAGGTGGGTACACGCGGATGGCGCAAGCCATTCACGTAAAACGGTGTATGTGTCGTGGACGCATGTACCGAGTTGTTAATGGCAAACGCTACCATTGGGAAAAACTCACTCCAACTCTTAAAGGAGTGTACGTATCCTCGAAGTATCTCTTCAAGGGCACGATTGGCACGTTCCGTCTGACCATCTGACTCTGGATGATCAGATGTTGACATCTTCAAGCGCGTTCCGAGTGATTTGAACACGGAACGCCAGAAATCAGCAGTGAATCGTGGATCTCTGTCTGATACGAGTTCACGGGGCAACCCATGAAGTCGGAAGATGGTGTCAATAAAGACACAAGCACAGCCACTTGCCGTGATTGTCTCTGGTACAGCCACAAGGTGTACCATTTTGCTGAATCTGTCAACAAATACGAGAATACCCGTATTCCCGCGTGCGTCTTTGGGTAACCCGAAGACGAAATCCATTGAGATGGATTCCCAGCACTCAGCCGGAACCGGTAGAGGCTGTAAAGGTGCACGCAGTGAAGGACTTGACTTCACTCGTTGGCAGACTTCGCATGCGCGAACATACTTTCGCACAAACTGATACTGGCGGGGCCAGTAAAAGTCTCGACTTACCGTGAGATATGTTTTCTCTCGGCCACGATGTCCTCCTATAGGAGCATCGTGATACTCGAACATGATCCGCAAACGCAGATCAGTATCATCTGGAATGACAACACGTGGTGTGTCACCAGAAACGGCTGTATAGTACAGTAAACCGTTACGAGTAGTGTATCGATCTGATGCAGGTCGATACGCAGACGACAATCGTTTCAACGATTCTCGAGATGGTTGGGAGAGATGTGTCAACAACTTCACAATCTCACCATCTTGGGCGTATGCCCGCCTCACATCATCATACAACGTTGTAGATGGAACTGAGGACGTCATAACCGCAACAGTGACTGTCTC